AAATGCTCTATAATTATAAAATTACACATACTCTTCTATTTTCTTTAATAAATATGAACTAATATATCTCTCTAGACAGAAATAATTTTTTTAACATAAATGATAATTTTAAAAATCGATATATAACTCATTTTATAGAAGAAATTATAAAATATAACATTATTTATATAACGTAATAATTAAAAATATATTGATATTTGCACATATTAGCTATAAGTATAACACTATTATTATTATATAATTTACATTTAAATTTTTTCGATTAGGTTTCAAGATGACAATATTGAATAGCTACAAAAGTATTTCTATAATATTTATTATATCTATTTTACAGAAAATATGTTGCACAATAGAAAAAGAATAATTTTTAAAATATATTTAATATATGTCTCATATGATTTTGGTTATATTTTTTTTTTAATTTCTTGAATTAATATTTCCTATAATATGGTGTTTTAAAATTATATTTTACAAGGTTATTTTTGAATTCTTCTTAGTATTAATTTTTTTTTTTTTTTATTGAATCATATAGATTTGTTACCTATAATACTACCATATATTATTATACAAATTATATATTTTTTTCTCTATATTTCTTATTATAACAAATTTTTGCTATATTTAATTCTTCATGAATTTATGATTCACAAGGACTATATGTATTCATTTCCTTAAGAAGATACGTGTATATTACCATTGTCATTAGGAAATATTTAAATATAATTTCCTTAGAATCATAATTATCTACATTATTACAGATTTAAATTTTGTGTATATTCAAAATATTTTTAAATCCATTACATATACTAACCTCATTCATATAAAAACAGTAAATAATATATTAATAATATTTATATATAATTATTAAATCAATGAATTACATTTAAATTTAAATTATCTATTTAATGCTAACTGTAACAGGCTATTAGTTTTGCATATATTTATGATATTAACAATATGTATATGTGATTTTTTTTTATATAGAACTAATATATACTTCTTTGCTTTTTAAATATTGGGGAATATATATATCACATGATGGAATTATATTAATAACATAAATGAATGTCTTATAATTAACAGAGTTCTTATGTAATTTAGTGTATATTCTATATAATATTTTTCAAATATGTTATGTGTCATGATAGTAAAATAAGTTATTTATATATTTATTTTCTTTTGTATGATTTTTGTTTATTAATGATTTAATCGTTTCTCCTAATGCTAATAGCAATAGAGACAAAAGTATATATAAGTGTAAATAATTTTATTCCATTATAAATCTATAACTATTGTAACATTTGTATGGATAGTATTCTTTGTAATTGTAAATTAAAAAATATTATATTACTATTATTAATATTAGCTCAAATTAATGAATGAGTAAAGACTGCATATTTATGTTAATTTGCATCAATTCAATAAATATGATTCCTAGGTATTTTCTCTATATTAAATTTTTTGATACATTTGAAATAATGAATTATATATATACCTCATTATAATACCAACCATTATTATGTAACAAATCTGAACATAATTGAATAATATATTAGATTTAATATATATATAATTCATAAAATTTAATATAAGGAGTATTATATAATTCCAAATATGGTTATGCATATATAATGTAGTTTTAGTGACGCATATGATATATACCGTAATAACAAAATAATAATAATAAAAAAAAATAATAAATTATTCAAATTCTTCTTCATTTCATATGTATAGTATTTTTTTCATATTTTTTATAATAATACATTAGTTTTCCCCTTTTCTTACAAGGGAAATAATTTTACAATATCCCCCTATTATATACATAATGAGATTATGCCATAATACAATGAAGCTATAATTAATCATATATAAAAGGAATTATAGCATTTAATAAATAAATTATGTATATATAACGAATGATTTAATTTTAAAAATAAAATTCTTTATGTATTTTATTATTATACATAATTATATTGAGTTTATTTTTCTATATTATTAATTTATTAGGATTCTTGTAATTTTGTATAATTATTATTCAACAAGTAAAAATGGATCTTATTCACACTTAAGATTATTTATATTTACATAAGTTAAAAGTTTATTATAATATAAATTATCTAAATGCATTATTCTATAAATTAAAATGTTAAATTTAAGGATACTCCGTACCCTTATTTTCATAATACATATGAGAAAAAAAAATATGTATCATTATTATCACAAAAATATATTTTAACATATTTTGATATTACTCAATTTCAGGTTATGACTTTAATGTGTGATTTTTTTAGATTTTTGCTAAAATTCATTAAGAATATATATATGTGTGCATGGTAAATTAAGCTTAAACACAAAATTTTGAATTATATATCAATAATATTTTTCTATAAATCATGGCTGTTATTCCAATCTTCTAATACAATCCATAACAATTTATGTATCCTTTAATTTCATATGTGTTCAAATTATATACTGCAAGGTTCTGTAATAATAATATGCATGATTCGTAATAATTTTCTTCAAGCATTAAGAATTAATCGTTTTATAATATTTTTATTAAATTATGAACTAGATGAAATCTATATCACAAATTTTTTATACCAACAGTTGAATTATCAAATATCAAATTTCCTAGACCGTACATTTAATTTGATATTATTTTTTAAAAATAGAAAGATTCTATTATATTAAAATATATAAATACATGTTGTATAAAATATTTACGCTATAAATTCATTTTTATCTAATTATATTTTATCTTAAAAATATTTTTTCGCAGCGGAAATTCCTTCAATATAAACAGCAGAGTATTTACTGTAATGATTGTGTTGTATTTTTTTTATTCTTGTTTAAAATACATAAACAACCCTTACACATACACTGTTATATTATCATCTTAATCAAATTACGTTAAATATCGATTCACAGGAACAAATTCTCTATTAATCTTATACTCTTTATAATGATAATGTAAGTAAACTCAAGAAAAAATTTAGTTTTCATGTTCAGATATATTTATGTTCTGCAGTAAAATGTGAAGGTACTTTTTAGTGCACTTGTTGTTCTATTATTAAATATCATATGTATTAAAATTATATTTTAACTTCTAATGTATAAGTTATTAATATATTTTGTATATTTATTATAATATAAAGTATTTTGAATAAATGTAATATAGCATAAAAATTCAACAAATAGAAAAAAACTTGTTATATTAAAATTTAGATATTTACTATAATTATTATGTACGATTACTGTTTAATATATTTATGGAGTACTTGTTCTTGTCTCTTAATTTTAAATATAATATTTTAAAAATTTTTTTTGCCTATCATATAATTTTCTGTGTGTAGTATTACGAACGAATTACATAGATATACATATTTTGTTATAATTTAAAGTATACATTCAGATTTTTTCAATATTTATCTATAACATCATAACATTTTTGTAATTTTTTTTGCATAATAAAATGTAGTATTTTTTCAAAATAAGTTATTCATTCTCTTTCATCCTTGTTTTTTCCAAATAAAATTTGTACGGATTCACAACTAATGCTGTATATAAAATAAGAAATGTTTCTAAATAAATAAAAAAACATAAAGTATTCATTGAGTACTAAGTAATAATATATATATAAAAGCATATATTTTAGTTACATAGCATTTTTACCCACTATTATATGATTGAATTTTCTCTGGAGATATATAATATTATAAATAAACACACAATCAAGAATCAATATAACACAATAATTTATTCAACACATAATATATATTATTCTAAAGCATATAAAGATTAACAATGAAATGAGAAAAAAAAAAGTAGCTTAACTGCTATGATTCAAATAATTTCTAAATTATAACTCACAGTTATAAAATAATTAATGTAAATATTTTTGTATTTATTGAATCATATATTAACATTTATTTGATTTCTTATTAAATCATAATATTGTTCAAATGCATTTATTTTTTTGTAATGTTAAATTTCCTTTATATTATTATTTCTTTTTTCATATTTTATTATTATTTTTATTTAGAAATAATTTTCGTGATGATTTTTCATTATTGTATCCATAAATTTTTAGAATAATAATTTACAATAAATATATATTAAATAAAATATTATTCAATATTATGTTTATTTAGACATATATATATATTTTTTTAAAAAATATTATGTTATAATTTATGTTTTACAGTAACAAGAAACCATTTAGTACTACGCATTTTTTTTTAATTCTTTCAGTGCTTTTTATAAAATTTTAAACTTACTCGCAAACAATATATCCTGATTAATAATTATAAAAGAGTAATAAATTATGCAATAATACATAATTAAAATATTCTTAATTCTATTCATAAAACATCCATAAAAATAAGTATATGCAATTCACAATAATTTTAAAGTATGTTTAGTGTGCTGCACTCATTAAATAAGGATATAAAATATAATATTAATACACTCTCATCGCAAAAATATTTTTCCCCACTTCATAGATGTATATTGAAATGAATTAAAAAATAAATCAAAATATTTATATTATTTTATATTAAATTATTCTTATATTTTAAGTCAATTTTATTTTTTTTTATATAAAAATAATTGCAATATAATTTGGAAAGCAGAATTATCTGGCATATTCTTCTTAATACATTTATTAGAAAGCTTTTCTTTAATTCTATAAAAACATATATTGCAAATTATATATATATACATAATAATAGATTTTATTTATAATGAAGATTATTTATAAAATCACAGAAGAATAATGAAAATATATAAATATTTTAATAATAAAATTTTAAACCTTCAAAATTCATATACACAAATGGAAAATGGATTTATATTTTATTTCATATTTTACTATATGTATAAATAGATTTTTCTTATTATGTGCTTTTTTTTGATAATTCAAATGTAATTAAAATCCAATAAATATAATCAGTTGTAATGAGAATATAATTTAATGAAAACGAAAAAATTAGATTAATAATATGAAGAAAGAGAGAATACATGAATACAATGTATTAAAAATGAAAGTCAATTTTTAAATATAATTACAGTTTAAAAAATATATACCTATAAATACTTATATGATACATATGAAGTTGTTTCAAATAATAATGTTAGATTAAATAAAAATATATGCATAATATCTATTATTATTAATAATTGTAATATTTTCCATTATTATGTTATATATATTCAGTGAATATATCAGTACTTCTTAAAATATAAAAAGGTATAATTATTATTAAGGAAAAAAATAGTGAAATATTTATAATGTTATTTTTTAAGATACCAAAAAATTACATAAAATAAAAGTATATATGAATATATATAAAATAACAAAATTTATATTATTTTTTATATAATAATGGTAAAACAAATGTAGATTGATTTATTTAATAATATTAAATAAAATAAAATCTCTAAAAACTCAATACTGGTCATTCAATCATTTACAATGGTTAATATAATTCATTGTTTATTACTTTTACTATAATAGATACAAATAAAATATAATAGTTTTTATTTCTTTTTTCACTTAAGTATTTGATTATTTATGTAATTTGTTCTTATCTACTTTATTTTTTTATAATTATTTTTTTTAGAGTCCATCTAAAAAAAATATAGATAAAAATATATTTTTTAATCAATGGGATAAAGCGATAATAGATAAAGATGTTGTTGAATATAATCCGACATTAAGAAGAATGAGGTATGAAGATCATGAATCATATAACATTGGATGTTTGCTCTATGAAAACTACACTACTGCAAAATTGCAACATGGAAGCTTTCATAATATTTGTGAATATTTCAAAGAGTTTTTAGATGATAAGATAAATAAATACAGAAATAATAATAGGTTATGTAGTTCAAACAAAATATTAAATGAAAATTTAAGGGCTTTATGGAAAGCACAACAAGAATCTAGGGAAGAAGATGTAGTAGAAAATTGGTGCGAATGGGAACCATCTACTGAATACTATTGTTATGCTATATCTCCACTGAAGGCTAGTTTATCTACATTTTTTATCTTATTAATAACACTTCTTCTTGTATTTTTCATTTATTATAATGTACTATAAAAAAATTTTTTAAATATTTAAAGACATTATAAGGAATATTTCTACTTATGTAACACTAAAATTAATAATGTTATTTGCATGTGTTACATTCTCTGTTTATATACCCTTCTTATATAGCATCCTAAAATCAAGAAATTTATATATGATAAAAGTTATAGGGATTATGTAATAAGATATTTTATGCAACATTTACTTCCCTATAGAAATAGAGAAGATTTTTCATTAGATTTCAACACAATAAGATTAATGTACACAATATGCATTTGATAGGGATTCTTAATATGCGCAATGTAAGATATCATACATCATTGTGTAATTATTCTAATAAAAGTTACACCTTAGAAATAAATTTATTCCTAAATAAGTTTAAAAATATCTATGTTTTAAAATAAAAAAGAAAAAGATGTTGTACTTTACATACATAAAATTAGTTACAAGTATAAATATTATTATAATTTAAAGGCACAATTAATCTCAAATATAAATATTTATCCTATTATGTTATAAATAATATGGTTTATATTCGATTTTGCCTTTTTTTAATATAATCATATAATATAATTTACAATTTAGATACGAACTTGATTTACATTATACATGAGAGCTTTATAAAATTATTTTTATTATTATTAATTTATATTAATTAAAATATTTCAAATAAAGTCATAATTGTTATAATTTTATATTTCTTGGCTTAATATTAGTTATTCCATTATATCATATACATTTAATCTTATCTATATGGTATATATCTTAACAAAGTTGAATATTAACTTTAGAACGACAAATTATAAATATTCAACCATATTTCTTTTCTCTTTTGTTCTCATAAATGTTATACTTTATTTTTATTTATTTTTCATTTTTTCCGTAAATTATGTATAAATGCAACCAAGTAATATAAAAATACCACAAATACAAAGTGTTCTCTGTTTTCATTAAAGCATTGTAAGGAAATAAATTATAAATGGTCTACAATCATAAATAAAAGGAAAAAACAAATAACATACGCATTATTAAAAATGTAAAACAATAATCATGCTCATAGAATATCGAAATATTCTTAAAAAGAATTTTAATGCAAATGATACAGTATAACAAATATAATATATTTATCTTTGAATAAATACTTAATATATATTTTATTTTTATGTCTTTAATTCCACTAAGCCATTTAATATTTTATCCGATGTATTAAGATTTATATAGGAACACTGCAATATATTATGCTTATTAAAGTTACATATTTTAATGTCTTTAAATTTTTTTAGCACTTTATAACTCTATAATACTAAAATATAAGCAGATTATTACCTATTTTATTAATATCATTATTATTAAAATAATTTCGTATTCACTAAACTCTCTCATGATATAATACAGAAAAAAAATATATTTATGAGTTTTATATAAAAAACGAACATAATTATTAAATATATTATATATAATTCATTTATTTCCTTATACCATCGATTAACATACTTAATTCATTTTATTTTTTTTCGTCATTTATTTCATGTGTCACTTTCATAATATAATTATTTTAAAAATATTTACATTAATTATGACGTTGTAAAATAATGTTAGATACATATATACATATATTATAATTAAAAATCAAATCCATACAATAATATTTCATTTTTATTTCGAACCGAATAGAAGATATTCCTTATTCCCATAATGAAATGCATTTTTTATAAAATTCCATTTAAAGATTTTTCTATATGTAGTTCATAAAAAATTTCAGGATTTATAAAACTGTATAAAAAAGTTAAAAAAAATATATATAAACATATATAAATAGTAAAAAATATTTTAATCATAAATCGTGTATATATTTTTTTTTTATTTATAATTCATATTATGAAATATATGTTGTAATATATAAAATCAAGAAATTGCATCTGTAATTATAAATGCAAAAAAAAAAAAAAAATTGCTTTAAATAACTAAAAGTTACGAGTAATAGCATAATTTTAACATGAATATGATTAACTGATTTCTATCATGAAGCCTAAGTAATATAACTAAAAATTATTTGGAGTTGTCTCAAATTTCTTATTATTGGTGTACCACAAAAACCATTATGGCTATGCTAACAATGACACCATTCAAAATATTCCTTATATTTTTATTATAATTTTTCATATTATCATATTTAATGACATAAAAAATGTATTTTCTTTTGTGAATCCATGTGTTACATGAAATTAATTTCCCCATTTTCCTTTATCATATATATAGAAACATAAAAAGAATAAAAATTTTACTAAATTTAGATACATGTCACAAAACACTCACGATAATTCAGTATCAAATGAAACAATAACTCATGCATATATTATCCCAATTATTTGATGACGATGTATTATATCCTTCACCCTTATTTATTGATCCTTAAGAAAATAAAATAAAAATTTTAACATTTAAATAATAATTTCATTTATGGAAAAAGTAATTAAATATATCAACATCATTAAAGACGTCATTCAATATACAATGATAGTACTATTATATTCGTCATAAAATTTTAAAGCTTTACAATTCGGATTCAGGATTAAAATTTCAAAGCTTCATATATACAGACTTGTTACTATAGATTTATGTTTACCGATTCAGAGATTTTGTCGTACGAATTAGTATTAGATACTTTTTATATAATTTGTTATATTATACGCAATTCTTTTTTATTATTTATCAGAATATGAGAGCATATCAGCTATATACCTATAATGACAGGATTATGGAGAATTAAAGAGCATATATAAAATCATTCTAAAATAAAATCAATTTTGATTTCATGAACTTGTGTTTTATTATAATTGCAATTTTCATTATAACAATATAATTAAAGATTCTTATGAAAAAATAAAAAATTAATGTTAGGACATAGCGATTTAATAAACTGAATTACATCACAGGAACTAAATGTTCTAAAAAAATTCACATTCAGAAATAAAAAATCTGTTTGACACAATTTCATAACCAAATGAGTTTTTATACTAAATCATAAATCAAATAGAACAAGATAAAATTTATTTAGAAAATTATATGTCAATAAAAGTGCAACTTTGTTTCGATCAGTAAGAAATATAACCTAATTATGTTATGTATTTTCTGTTGTACTCCTGAGTCTTTTTCCTAGTAATGGAGCATTATTATACAATGTAAAATATGATTTCTTGTACAATATATATATATATAT